AGAGTGCAGACGCACACGACATCGGTCACGGTGGCAAATTTAGAGGAATGGAGGTAGCAGCTACTAGGATACAACAATGGAGGTAGCAGCTATTAGCAGACAACAGTGCAGACGCACGCACACAACAGTGCAGACGCACACGACATCGGTCACGGTGGTAAATTTATAGGAATGGAGGCAGCAGCAATGAGCATACAACAGTGCAGACGGACACGACATCGGTCAAATTTATAGGAATGGAGGTAGCCTCAAGAAGATACCAATGAAGAGTGTGAAGGGTGCTTCAAGTCCTAGAAGGATTGATGGAGGCTTCACCGCGCATTCCGGCTGTTGCGAATGGGGTTGTATTCTTTGGCACGTGGCCTGGATCTTCACAAGTACAGTTGAGCATGAGGAGAAGTCCGCCAAGGTCACATGAGTCATGTCCGCGCCCATTTTCTTCAATGGAAGGGCTTTGGGCGCCATTTCTTCCCAGCATGAAGAGATCATCACCCCTCACGGTTGACTGTTGATTCATTAACCCCCCCCCAGTTATGGCCGGGAGATGTAGAACCGAAGGGGCGGTTGAAGACAGGGGTCCAAGTCGGGGTCCCGTATTCGCCAGTAGTGTGGCTCTGAGACGCTTATCCGGCAGCGTCCGGCAACCAGTTTTGGGTCAAAGAAGGCTCTGTGAGCGCAGAGACACGCCAGCATCCGCACAGGTGCCCCGCATGCCACAGTGTGGTGCGGTCATCGCTGCTCTTTGGGCGCGTTCAGGCCACACACACAACACCGTCAGGAAAACAATGCTCGACAAACAGCTGGCGAGTTCCAGAGAGCAAGCGCGACGGGACGAAATAGAAGGGTTTAGACCCTGGCAATCGGCGCTTTCGAAACCCCTAAGAGTGACCCTGGCCAACGGCCCTGCCGGCTGCCGAGGAGGGTTTGAGACCGGACTCCCTAACGTCACCTTCGAAACCCATAAGAAAGAACTGGGAGACAGCTCTTAACGTGGCCACGCCCGGCCCGGCTTCGGCAGCCAAGGCTGCGGTGCAGGCATCTGCAGCCAAAGGTCCCGGAAAGGGCTTTGGAGCCTGGCCAACGGCCCTAGAATGGTGGGTTTGGCTGAGGTCAGGAAGCACCTGGCGGAGTGGAAGCCATCCATGGTTGAGGAGTACGGTGCACTGGTCACTGAATCAGAGGCGGTGGAGCCGATTGACCACTCCCGAATGGAGGCACTTCGGAGGCATGCAGCCGAGGTTGGGAAGGACTTCGACTTGGTGCCGGCGAAAGCCATCTTTAGCCGGAAAGCTGGCACGGGCCGTCATAAGTGCAGGGGAGTTGCCTGCGGGAACTTCATGCAGGCGAAGAGCACCGAATCCACCTTTGCTTCAGGAGCCAGTGGCATTGAGGTGCGAATGCTGATGAAGGTGGCAGCTGTTCACGGATGGGACCTCTCGACCATCGACGTCAAGACTGCTTTCCTCAATGCACCGGTGGATGAGTCAGCGGAGAGAGGCATCGTGATTGTTGAACCACCCCGCATCTTCAAGGAAGCTGAAGTACTTCAACACCCAGCGGAGTACTGGCTGGTGAAAAAGGCCCTGTATGGGTTAGTGACGTCCCCCAAGGACTGGTGCGTGCACCGCGATCAGAAGATCAAAGACTTCAAGTGGGAGATCAAGAAGACCCAGTACAAGGTCGAGAAGACTGCTCAGGATGATGTGTGGGCGATTAAGAGTATGGCCGAGGGAGAAGAGAGATGGCACTTGGCGGGCCTATGCGCCACCTATGTCGACGACATCATCATCGCAGGGGAGAAAGAGGTGATCAAGGAGTTCCACCAAAGAATCCAGGAGAACTGGAAGATCGGTGAGCCTGAGTGGGTGGAAGAGGGCCGTGAACCTGTCAGATTCCTGGGAATGGAGGTGGAGAAGCGAGGAAATGACTATGTGATCCACCAGAGGGCGTACCTGGAGAATCTCTTCTTGGAGTACGAGGAGCAGGGAAGATCGTCCCTTGGGAACATCAAGACGCCCGAGGAGGAAGATCCGCCGCTGGCAGTCGATGTGACTCGGGCTCAGAAAGAAACGGGAGAGCTACTTTGGGTGGCTGGGAGGACACGCCCCGACATCTGCCTGGCGGTGAGCCTAATGTGTCAATGGGCGACCAAGAGGCCGAGAGGTGTGATCGCCATTGGATTATGACGTAAAATAGCAGATAAGACAGGGGCCTCTTAAGCTCGCTTAGAGCTCGCCCA